GTGTTCTCTCAAGGTGAAATGGTTACAAAGAAAATTGAGATTTTATAAATATGTCAATCAAATCAATAACAAACAGAAATATACAAAAAAAAATTCAATAAATAAGTTGGATAAAGAGATTTTAGATAAAAAATTTTAAAGATAAGAGTTGAGGAAATTATTTTATTAAAATTTGGGGAGTATTTCAATTAATTTTTTCTGGTTTTTATCTGTAAATTTGTTGTTAGATTTTTTTTTTCTTTTGTCAGATATATATATATATATATATATATATATATATATATATATATATATGTGGTAGTTTCTGTTCATTTGTTTGTTATTGAACTCCTTCTAGGCTTTTGGAGATAGACCCCCATATATTCTGAAACTACATTACCCAGGTTAATTGGGTAAGTATATTTCATTTTGAACAAACGGGGTCCCTGGTGGGCACAAATGCTCACTGAAATTTTTTTCCCTTTAATTTAAGTTAAGAAGGTGGGCAAGATGAGCAAGAAATCACCAAACAGTGCATTGTGCCTTACAATACATACTTGTTGGGACAATTCAACTGTCATATCAGTGTTTAAATCTGCTCATCAATTCATTCAGTAAAGTATTGCATCAAATATATATCAAAGAGGTCATATTTTTGATTTAAATTAAATTTAAATTTGAACAAGGGAATGACTCCTGCCCAAAATATATACAGAGAAATCTTGGAGGTCACATCAGCAAGATCATTGAGTAATATTGAAAAGCATCATTTTTCTCCATAAATTATAACAATGATTTCAAATCTATCATTATTTTCTTACAAAAAAAAAAAGTGTGACATGCAACAAGATGTGGGTAATTTGGCTAGTATATATATATATATATATATATATATATATATATATTTTTGTGGGAGGTTGCATTTTCAAGACATTTATGTGTCATCAGAGTAATTGAGCAGCCAAAGTCCTAATTGGTTCTGATGACTTTTCTAGCTGATAATAATAGACATAGGTTGCTGCTTTCTATTCATGGCAGATAAAGCGGACATTTTTTGTTGCAATTTTCCCATGATGCTGCACTACTTCTGAATCTAATTTAACTACCTGACAAATTTTATTTCTTTTATTTTTCTCAATATCTTTTCTTTCATTTATTTATCTATTTTTAAAATTTTGTACAATAGATTTATTGAGATATAAAAACATAGACAATTGCAGATATATCATCTGAAATTATTCTGTTTTCTTGAGAAGCAAATTTTACTTTCTCAGTTCATATTGATATCATTCATTTTATTGACATTTTTTTATTAATTCTCTTTTCTCAATATGCTTGTGCAAGTCAGAAGTTTCTCCAAATCCAGTGTTTAAGCTGGAAGCAATTTTCAATTTAATCAGTTTATAATGTTTCTATGGTTTTTATTACAGATAACCTTACAAAGGAACTAATCTTTTATTTATACTTATTTTATTTATACTTATAGTCCTAAAGTAAGTGAATATTGATCTTACAAACTATTATTTAGAATTTCATAGATGCTCAGTGGATTTCAATAAGGATTAAAATTGATTTTATCTAACAAATATCCACTACTTCTCTCTTGTCGAATTCTCTTCTGGCTTCTTGTTTTCCAGTCAACATTGATCTTCAAAAATTATGCAATGTCAATCATTACCTTCTCTCTTCTTAATTCCTGTTCTTTTAGTGTTCTCTCTCCTTAATAATGTTTTATCTTATATTCTCTAACACTCAGCATTACCTTGCATCTTAGTGGCTTTATTGCATTGCTTGGGGTGAAATGATTACAAAAAAATACCTGTTTAAATGATGTATATTTAAGCAGCAGTCTTTCATCTTCTATATGTCATATCTCTTTGGGGCATGGGCAGTCATGGCTCACCACAAGTTCCTATCCATCATAACACTTAGCAATATCTATCTTTTTACTATCTCTTCTAATCCCTGTTCTGCCATCCATTGACACAAGCTTGATAGGTACTACTGCTTTAACCTGCCTTCAATAGGTCTTCTCAGAGTCAAATTTTACAGGCCTACTTTTTTCATTAGCTATCCCAGAAATTTTAACTAATTGTTTCTTAATCTCACTAAAAGTCTCCTTTTTGTTTCTATTCTCTTTAGCTTTTTTCCTGTCCAGGGCATTTTCGTGTGTACTATCAAAACATTCATCCTTGTTTTCAGATTTATAACTACTGGAAGGCAGCTCAGCTTATTTGGCAAATAGAATTTGCTGATATATAGTATTTTATATGAAAAAACCTGTGCATCACATGTGATGCAGAGAACATACAAATCATAAGTTATTTACACTACGCTCTGTTTATCACATGTGATGCAAATGTTATAATCATTTCCCTAAAGTGGAAAAATAGATGTCATTTGAGACCTTACATTATCAGTCAAGTATCCTGTGGTCATATATGATGCACAAAATATTAGATTAATCCTTTCCTCAGACATCCTGCTAAATAGTAGACTCGCTTCTTAAGCATTCTTAGTTTTACCACTCTTTTAAAATCATGGCTCATGTGCACCACATATGATGCACGGATGTGGAAATCACATGTCCTGCACATCACATATGATGCGCAGGACTGGCAAAGGGTTAAAACATTCTTATTGTTCACATGCCCCATCCAATGTATTCTCAGCATCCTTCTGTAGAACCACATCTCTGTTGCCATAGCTCTTCTTTATCTGTGAAGAAATTGTCCAACACTCACCAACATATAAGAGGACTGATATTACATCGCACTTCAGCACTTTTTTTTTACAGTAAGTTTCACTCTGTACAAGGCCCAGGGGCCACTCAAGGCAGAGGGTTACAATAAGGGGTAGTTTGTATAGTTTGGAGAAGATAATGGATGACTCTAAACTTGAACAGATTAAGATTGTAGTGATCAGAGAAACATTCTCTTGGGATTCTATTCCATAGTGTAGTACTTCGCAGGGAAAAAATGTTTGAGTGGAACTTACTTCTCACTGATGGAATACAGAAGGAATGTGGGTGGCTTGTTACTCCGTAAGCGGCATGGCAAGTGCTAGCCGTGAAGGTTAGACCTGGTGGTACTACAGAAGATGTAATTCATCTGAGCACTTTCTATAGTAATAGCAAAAGAGCCTTTTTTCCAATTCACTAAAAATGGATGTTGTGGGAGTTAGTTTTTAGGCATGCTATTGATACAACCAACCCAAAATAGCTGCTGTTTGTGAACATTTCTGAACACCATTATTATTATAACCATTGTCAAGGTAGAGAAAAATTATGGTTAAAACTGATTTCTTTGCCTCTCTTTTTATCTCGGAGACCTCCATGATTTAATCTCTTTAAATGCTAATTTTATTAAGGTCAGTGTATGTAAAAGAGAAACTTGGAGACAAATTCTTGTTTAAAGGAGTTGGAATAATGTTTCGACAGGATTTATTTATCATTTTTTAAATGCTATGTCTCTTCAGGTCATAGACAATCATAGCTCTCCACACATTCTCTTTCTTTTATTAATTGTCAATTGCTGTAGCCTCTTAAGAAAAAAATATAAGAGTGATTTCCCATTGCCTTCTCCATGGTTTTGAATGTATTGCTGGTTACAGTGGTATCTTTTCTTTTTAAATGCCATGTTTCTTCAGAATGCATGTGATCATGGTTCTCCACAGATCCCTTTTCTTTATCATCTTTGATGTAATATAGCCTTTTAGGAAAGACAATGGTGTAGTTTCTCATTGCCTTCTTCATGGTTTTAAGTACAGTGCTGGTTACAGTGCTACCATTTCTCTTTAAATGCCATGTCTCTTCAGGATGGATGTATGTGATCATGGCTCTTCATAGATACCGTTTCTTTATCATGTGGATTGCTATGGTTTCTTAGGAAAAGATATTAGTTTCTCTGTGGTTTGAAATTCATTTTTTCCTTCTCATAGACTGGTTACTACTCAAGGATAAAAAACTCAATATCCTCTACTATTTTACTGGTGGGAAGAAAAGGGACATTCATGCCTTTCCTGTATGCATTTGTGTGAAAGTGAATGCAGCAGGCTAAGCTAGAATTTGAACTCAGCATACCAATTCCACTTTTACTACTGATAACCATTATTAAACAATGCATCGCTTTATTACCTTATTATTTTATTACATATGTTCTCATATATTTGATGATAATTTTATACTTTTATTATTTATTGTTTGGTCTCTAAAGTAATAATGTGGTTCTGTTTACTCCAATATCCAGTGTAAAATATATATGCGTTTATGCATGTATGTTTCTATGTGTATACTTGTGATGATTGCTTCATGTTGTTTTGAGAGCAATGTTGTTAGGAGTTCTAAACTCCTGGTAGGGCCACCCTTGGTGGCATGGTAAAAAACAAGGGCCCAGACTAAGCCCGACCAACCCAAAAGATCTCAACAGTTGAACCAATGGATGAAGAGGGCAACACATGATGGACATGCTGCAGAAGGTGCCAATCAAATTTGTTACAGAGTCAGTAGCAGTCTGTTGCAGTTTCATAAATGGATTTTGCATGTTTCATTCCATATGTTCCACAGAGGAAGGTCATGAAATCAAGTGTGTGGGTCACTTCCTGGCAAGTTGAACTCCAACCTAAAACAAATTGATGCCATCAGTACTTTCCTCAACTCTGAACCCCAAACCAACTCTTGTAAAGCCAAATGGCAATAGGGAATGGATGACGAGAACAGGTTTTGGTGAAACTGGAATCTTCTCATCATGAACTTGCATCTTGGTGGTGAATTTAGTCATCAACATCATCATCATAAAACAAGTGATCAGCCAAAAAGTAATTAAATTTTGGACATGAGATAAAACCACCACCAATCTTATTATTGGAAGACAGAACTAAATTTGGACAAGTAAGTTTGTGTGCATGTGTGTGTTTAAAAAAGATTACATGCCACCCTGAAAATAGTTCTTAAACAGAAAATACCATGACCATACTGTTACCTATGATAATTTTGGTCACAATAATTGTAATATGAATTTTTCATGCCATTATATCTCTGGTTTGAATCACTGGTACCAAATGTATATATATATATATATATATATATATATATATAATGTGTGTGTGTGTGTGTATTTTTTGTATTTGTCCTAAATAGGTTAAATAGTAGGGCAAACTGTGCTCTTCATCTTTGGTTGGTAACCAATGTAAGAGAATTAAAATTCTGAATTCTCAAACCTGAGTAGATGGAACTTATTAGTGTTGGAACATATGATCATCTGAGGAAAGGAAAACTCTGACAGAAAACCATCCCTTCCTCAGAATACAGAGTTAAGAGATGGGCCAATCACTCTGCCCCCATAGGACAGTTTTATTGCAGAAACTTCACCCCATGTTTTTATGTTCCAAAAGGCAAAAGACAGATAGCAAATAACAAATACACTGATGTCATTTTGCTTTTGATTGATTGATTTTGAAGTTTATTTAAAGCCAGAAAACATTTTTAAATTGTAAGAATTTTTTTTTAAGATAATAATGATTTGGTGATACAATTCTTACTAATTAACCCATATCTGGGGAAAGATGAGGTGAATTCATACCATTCCCAAGGGTATTTGTGCACAAGTGAATATAACATACCCAACTACAATTAAAAATTCCAAGCAATTATTCATAATATCATATGGGAACCAGTGTTTCAACATTATATGGCCATAAGCCTGCTTTTTGCATTATTTAGGTTAGCATATTTTAAGAGTACATTAATTTAAAAATTTTGGCTGCTATGTACTATTTTGACACCTTTAAATTTTTTTATTTAATTGAGTGTTAATACAGACCCCACAATATCACTCTATTGTAAATCATTTTGATTTTTTTTTCTATTTTTGCATTTTTTAAGTTACTGCATTGTAAGAGCATCATAATTCAATGTCTCTGGCTAAAATGCACCATTTTTCCCTGCCCTTGAAAAATCATTTTTTTTCAGTTGAATGATGATGCAGACCCCAAACTGTTATCATTCATTTACAGATCATCCAGTTTTCTTTTTGTATTTTTTAAGTTAGCATATTTTAGAAGTATCTTAATTTAATACCTCTGGCTACAATGCACCATTTTACCCCACCTCCCTTAAAAAATAAGTCATTTTTTTAAGTTAAATGCTAATATGCCTCAACAATATCATCTTATCACATGTCAACCTGATATTTTACCTTTTTGTATTTGTTAAGTTACCACCGTTTTAGGTGTTACTGTATAATAATTTTACCTTCAAAAAACTGTGTAGTTAGTGTAATGAAATAAATTGGGAGAAGTAAAATAAGCAAACCAAGTTCAAATTCCAAATTAGTCTGTTGCATTTACTTTCACATAAATACTCTTGAAAAAGGCATGAACTCATCTCTTCTCCCCTCAGCTATGGATTAAATAAATTGGTAGGCTGGGATCTCTAGCTCTGGTACACTTCTGAATTCAGAAGCAGCCTAAAGAGGGTGGGTTCTGTCAGGCTATTTTACCTTAGACATACCTACTTCTGCTACAGATGCAGTACATGTGGTATATCTACAACCTTGATGAGTTATGACATTCATGAAGCAGAAGTAACCACAAAAATGAATTTTGATCATTATGGCAGGATCTCTTATTTCTTTACTATGAATTGGGTTATGGGAACTTACCTATAATGATAATGGACTCTTCCTGACACTATAAATACTGCACCTTGCAAGAGGTATAACGAATGAATGAATGGTATAACGAGTCGAGACAATATTAGTTCACTCTAAACCAGATGGACAGTCATTACTAACACCTTCAACTTCTTGTACTATATTTCTGTTGTAATATATCTTTGTTATTCTACTCTTGTGTTCGTGTTATTCTTCCTTGGTTCTAACCTTAGACCATAACTGTGGTGCGAGGATATTGGACCATAACAAATTGTTATCCCCTTAATTTCTGTTCTTCTTCATTCTTCCTTTTATGATTTGATTATTCTGTCAGAAAATGAAATAAAATCAACAAACAAAATAATAATAAAAAAAGAAAAAGAAAGACATTTTCTTTTGATGCTATTAACAAAGGAACCAGAAATTTTATTATCCCACTTGGCTTTGCTAAACACCTATTAGGTGGTGCTGTTTAAGTTCTATAAAAAGATAAACATCTCCTTGCTATTCCTCACTTTCTTCCCCTTGTTCCAAGATGTAGCAGGATGTGGATGAAGATATCCACCATGAGAATGTCTCTTTTCCACAGTCAACTGATGACTGAACTCTCTTTCCACTTTCCAATGCATAGCATTCGAACATGTTTTGCAGTGCCACCCATGAAGTAAGGACAAACTTTTTCTTTGGTCATCCCAACTCAGTAGAAAGCTGACTTGAGCTTGACCATTGTAATCATTCTCATCAATACTTACCCTAACTTACTTCTGGAACAGAAAAAGAAAACGGACATAGCTAGAAGACACTGAGAACTTTGTTTCTCTACAGTTACTATTAAAAAATATAATGAACGGTTTATAGTAGAAACCTAAGTTTTTGTTGCTTCTACATTAATTGTTTATATGTGAACATACCTACACCAACAATACACCAACACAAAACCTTTAAATTTCATAATTCTGTCTTCATTTATTTTTGGGTTAAATATCATTTTTCTCTTTTTTTTTCCCAATTCATTTATTGTCTCTTTTCCTTTTGCCATCATCTTTTTTTCCAGTCATTTCTCTTCTTTTCCAATTCATTTTTCTCTTCTTTTCCCAATTCATTTTTCTCATCTTTTTCCAGTTTATTTTTCTCTTCCTTTCCCAATCTGTTTCTATTCATTTACTGCCTCTGTTCTTTTGCCTTCTTCATCTTTTCCATTCATTTTCTTTTCTTTCGTACGTTATTTTGTTCACTTTTAACATTTGCTTCTTCTTTTTTTAAAGTGTTCTTTTAGCCAATTCATAGTCGGAAGTGAACTGCTGCTTTTAACATTGGGATAAATATTGAAAAAACAACAGACGACATGGAGTCTCCTCTGACATTTGGAAAGGCCATTAATTAACTTGTGATTTTCTTTTTCTACCCAACTCCTAGCTTTTGGCCTGGCTTAGACTGGTGATGTTGTATGTCAGGGACACTATTTGACATTCAATCTAAACGTGCTTAGTGCAAAGCATTTAATATCAATAAAATAAATAAATACTTAAATTTGTTGAAACAATTTCAAATTTTGTATCTCATTCTTGAACATTTACCGATACAATTGAAATAACTGTCTTAAAATTTATTTTTTATATTTATTTAAAGATGGTAATAACTTTGATTTGCTTATGCAAGCAACTGTGATTATTTCTTTTTGAGTAAAACCAAAGTAACCTAGTAAAGTTGATATACTGACATCTAAATTTCTGCCATAATTTTGAGGCTCAGATATTATCATTTTCAGGACTGTAGCAGGGACAAAGGTTTTGGGGAGAGACAAAAAAAAAATTAGCATTGAGTTAACAAAGGCCACCAATATGGTTAGTGGAAAGAACATTTAAAATTTCCCATAAGTCTAGATTGGCAGAAATCATTTCAAATAAGAGAGAAATTTCTGTGTTAAAAATGGAAGAACTATTCGTCTTTTTTTTTTGAATATCTACAGGGAAAATATAGATTTATTAATGATGAAAAAAAAATTTTTTTTTTTTTTACTTAGTTCTTTTTCATTTGGGACTAAAAAAAAATAAAACAATTACAAGAACATTTTAAGCTATTGTCTCATCTGTATTCCAATAATGTATGTTTTAGTCAGGCTTGTTTTAGTCAAGTCACAATCAAAAGGGAAAGATTGTGACTTGAAAGTTTCCCAAATAGGAGACTCTGATGTGATTTCCTTTCAAAAAACGAGTTTGCAGCTTCTAACACATCAATATAAAGCCTGTAAAAAAAAAGTACAATTGGTAAAAATTTGTGGGGGAGCCAAGACCCCCCCCACACACACACCTTTTATGGCCCTGTTATTTGCATTATTTAAATTCAGACTAATGTTATTATCTTTGTTACTATCATCACATTTCAGCCACTGTGCACGCTTTTGTACTGAACCCTTGATTTAATCTATCATTTTTATTCTATTCATGTATAGGGGCATCTAAGTTCTGTATTGTCCCTGCATGACAACATCTTGGTAGATTAAAGTGTTGGTTTGTGAATTTAGTGACATGGTAATTGGGAGTTCAATCCCTGGGCTGGGCAGTACAGACCAAGATTCAAAGGAAATAGTTTAAGCAGTAACTGAGATATACGATATAAGAATAAATACAAGTCATCCATATTATTTAATCCTTAAATGAGGAAGATGGATTCATGCCTTTTTCAAGGGTAATAGTTCTTAGTGAATGATATGTCCCAGAAAGGGATATATTTGTTCGAAGTAGCAAAGTGGTTGTTAACTACTGTAACTGAGTAGGACAATCTAGCAGGTAACCATAATGGACTGGTCCTCATCGTAGTGCTAGGCAATAGGCATCATCAATAGGCGACCTCATGTACCTCCACATCAGTCTGTATTTATGGCTGACACCAGCCAATCATATTACTGTGAGGGGGAACCCAAGTGTATGCATATTCATTACATCAGTGAACATAAAAACACTGAACATTTTTTAATTGGTATCTTTATCTTTGTTGTTTTTATCACAGTATTTCCACCTCTGTTCCAATCCTCAGAGATTTACGGCCACATCATGTTGAAACACCAGTTCCCATACGATCACTGAAGTTAAGCAACATCAAGCCTGGTCAGTACCTAGATGGATGACTGCTTTGGAATACCAGGTGCTGTAAGCTTTGATGTGCAGGTGGTGCAATGAATAATAGCTTGGAATTGTTAATCAGAGATCTGAGTTACAATTCCTGTTGGTTTGTTATATTTACTTATGTGCAAAAATCATTTGGATAGGTAAATCCACTCCTTTCCCCCCCAGCTATAGGTTAATTAGTAAAACTTGTATCACTAAAAAACTTATTACAATCTGAAAAAGTATTTTCTGGCTTTAAATAACCTGCAAAGGGTTGATAAGCCATAGAAAATTAATCAATGAAAACCAATCCTCTGGTGTTCTTTTTATTCAATAAAGTGTCAAGGAATTTTTAAAATACAGAGAGATACAGCTGGAATATTGAGATAAAAACAACAAAAATGAGGATAATGTTTCAAATGATTTATCCGATAATGGTAACCCAAAAATTGAAACAGAATTTATAACTTTGCCAAAGAATCAACCATTCACCATTTTTCTGCATATTAATAAATTTCTACCTGAAAAATGACAGGTCTGTCACAATATCATAACTCCCATTAATAAGAAAGTATATTTTTATGATTTCTGCTGCTAAACAATATGAAACACTTTCAATTCATTCACAAATAAGTCATTTTTAATATCCTTAGGTATAGGTTTTAAAAATAATTTTTGCCTTTTAGGCCAAAATTTCTTTGTCACCCCCCCCATAGTTCCTGTCTATTATCAATGCCACTGTATAATGTCATATTGTTGAAATATTTCATTGACCAATCCAGAACAGTTTTTGCTTTCACTGCCTTCATCACAATCTGTGAATTGTCTCAAATTATTATCCAATTCCCTACCAGGTTAAGAAGACATCGAACAAAGATATTTCTCACAAGATATCTCATCAACTGTTCCCAGGACAATAATTGATTTCACTGCTTTCATCACTCTGTATGAATTTTCTTGAATTCCTGTTCAATTCCCTATGAAATTAGAAAGACAAAGAAATGTCTTGTGAGATAGCACATTGGCCAATTCAAAAGTAGTTAAATGGACATACTTTTTAAGCCATCTTTGATTATAGAATGCTTATTCTTACATGATCAAATTAGCTAAGATTGACATGAATGTCAGTAATAATAGTCTGTCAATAATAGAATTCAGCTCACTGGGTAAAATCTTGGAATATGTGCAAAGGTAAAAAGATGCCAGCCATTAGTGAGAGCAAAGAAAGGAGGTTTCATGACAATGAGGTAAAAAAAGAAGAAAATGGTAGAGAGAAGATGATGAAGAAGAAAGAAAAGAAATATCCTAATGCTTGGTCTTGTACAAGATGGCTTACTTATTTCATTTTGAGCATCGTACAGCAATCCATATATGGTTGTATTTTAATTGCAGACAATTTGGTTATTTGTAAATTGTCATTTCTTATGACGAAACAAGTTTTCCATATTTTATTATTTATTCTTGGTCTATAAAATACCAGAACAGGAAATTGCCTCAGTCTAATTTTGTTTTAAACTTGATCTTGTACTCTCGATTGTGAAACTCTCTCCCTGCATCTTGTTTTCCAGTCAAATTTGATCTTCAGATATTTAAATACAATATCAATTGTTATCTTAAAGTTTCTTAATTTCTGTTTCTTTATTGTTCTCACACCTTAAAAATGTTTTTTTTTATATATTCTTTCGCACTCAGTAATTCCCTGTGTGTTAATGACATTTTTGCTTTGCTTGGGGTGAAATGCTTAAAAAACTTCAACAAAATCCAAAATTACCTCATATGGGTGGGGGTATAGATGTATTTCAACCTTTCAACAAATGAGAAGTATGTTATAACCCAACAGATTTATTACCTGTACTACATATATATATATATATATATATATATATATATATATATATATATATATAATAAAAATATAGCTTTAAGGTATATGATGTTTATGACTTAAAGGGCTTGATACAGCATAAGTACAAGAAGTATATTATATATACCAACGGATTTATTACCTGTACTATATATAAATATATATATGATAAAAATATAGTTTTAAGGTCACATTAGAGCTAAAGAAGTCCAACATTGATATAGCTGCACTGAGAAGTAACCATCAGTCGACTACATGAAACGAGAAAGCAAAAAAAGACATCTAACAGTGTCCCTGCTGCACTTGGATACAATACATTCTCCTGTACTGTTTGTGGTCTTTTGTGCAATTCACAAGCTGGTCTCAAAAGTCATACCTGTCATAGGCAAGCAGATAATTAGTTTGTGGTTTTTGGAACCTCATACGTCGACCTCAACTGGAGAATCCATCATATATATATATATATATATATATATATATGCTTGAGTGTGTCCTTGTGTAATGTTCTTGTCAGTCAAATTCAATAAAACTTACTGAATTCTTCTTACCTAAATATAACTTATATATATATATATATATATATATATATATATATATATAAATCCTATGTATTTTTATAAACAAAGGGTGCATTTTATTTTATAAGATTTCTCAATATCAAGGTCAGTAGACAAAATACCAAATAAAATATTAAAACATACCATGTACTCAAATATGGGTATCCATTAAAAATTACATTGAAATAATAAATATACATACATATAACGAAACACAAACACTTAAAAAAAACATAGGTGATATTTACTTCATAGAAGTCAATAAAAACGACTTCAAATCTTCAGACCTGTAAACCAAATGTAAATGGAAAAATTCCCTCCAGGTTTAAAAATTAAGAATAGGGATTTCATGTCCAGAGAGTTGGGGAAAGAAAGATGTAAATTTAATTTTTAAACTTGGCATGAACTTTTCATTTACATTTTGTTTACAAGTCTGAAGATTTGAAGCCGTTTTTATCGACTTGAATGAAATAAATATCACCTATTTTTTAAGTGTTTTCTTATATAATAATTTTTGGTCTGTCTTTGACATAGAGCTCTCAATGGATCTATATCCTCTTGGAAATTCCCAACAGATTGCCAATAATTTTATTATTAACATATATATATATATATATATATATATGAGATAACAATATATATTTTTATATATCAAAAACACTATTGAGGAAATTGTAAGACAAATAAACTTTTCCATTTTGTCTTACACACACACACACACACATATATATATATAGAATTAATATAATTAAAGGTTTGTCACTTACCTGATTGATGTTACCTTCAGCATCCTAACTCAAGAATTTCATAGATGAACCTCTAGGAATCACTCAATTCACTCATCAGGAAGTATCATCAATTATATATATGTATATATATACATACATATATATATATATATATATATATATATATATATATATATATATATATATATATATATTTTTCAACTGTTATTATAGTGTATACTAGTAAGAGATATAGGCACCCCATTTTTTATTTGCAGAAATCTTAATAAAGAAAATACCAGAGAACACATTTTCTTTATTAAGATTTCTTAATGGACAAACAGGTCAATAAATGAGAGAGCAATACATAATGTTTAAAGTTAAAATAAAAGTCATGCTTCTATTTCTAATACATGTATCCATTATAATAACATCTGAAGTAATAAAATCTCCCATTAAAAATAAATTGATTAGTTGTTTTAATATATATATATATATATATATATATATATATATATATATATATTCAACCTTTCAGTTTGATGCTTCGGCTTCCTAGGTTTTCAGATCAAAGTTGAATCATTTCAAGTTATCTTTCAATTTGTCTTTGTAGCGTAAGAGTGGATGTCCAACTGTATTCTTGGAGTTTGGTAGTTGTCCATACAGCACCTTTGTTTGAAAGCCTATGCTCATCCATTCTCATAACATGACCAACCCACCTAAGTTGTATCCTTGCTAGAATGATTTCAATGCCTGTGATGTTGTTAAATTTCTTCAGTATTGCACTATTCTTGATCCTGTCATCCCATTTTATATCACATATGGCACAAAGACAGTACATGTGAAAGGCGCAAGTTGATTTATGTGCTTGTGGTACAAGGTCGAAGTTTCAGCACCATAGGGAAGTGTTGAGAGAATGACTGATCTGTAGATGTCAGTCTTTACTCTGAGAAGCACATCTTTGGTATTCCATAACCCATGTTTAAGTTTACCAAATGTTGTGCTGGCTTTGACTGTTCTAGATTGTCCATTTTTCCATCTAAAGAGACTGTTGATCCAAGATATGTAAATGCCTCAACAGTTTTTAATGCCGTACCATCAATGAATATGGAAGGATTTATGAGAGAAGGATTGCCTGGTATTGGCTGGTACATTAGCTCAGTCCTCTTTGTATTGATGGTCAGACCAAATACTTTCACTGTTTCAGAGAATTTATCATGGATAATTTAAATGTCTTCTAGACTGTGTGCTAATAAAGTGGCATCATCTGCAAAGAGAAGGTCACGTACCAGCTGCAGACTAAGTATCAATTGTGCTTTAAAACATTGCTGATTATATAAACCACCACTTATTCTGAATTCAACATTGACTCCTTCACTTAAGTCAGAGAATGCTTTTTCAAGCATAGCAGAAAAGAAAAGTGCAAAGAGAAGAGGAGCAAGAACACAACCTTACTTTATAGTATTGGAGACGAAAAAGGCGTCCAATTGCTCACTTCCCAACCTTACAAAAGCTTTCATTCCTTTGTGAAAGGCCATAATAATATGGAGCATTTTTCTGGAACACCTGATTTTGACAAAACTCTCTTTCACTATATATATATATATATATATATATATATATATATATAGTGAAAGAGAGAAATATTAAGACAGAGGGGCAGACATTTATCTGACCATGATGAGCAGTGTACTCATGAAAATTTGATGTCTAGTTGAACAAGAACTATAAGTCAAACTTTTATTAATTTCTTGCCTATTGTCAAGATATTTCTCTATTGAGCACTTTCTTGCCAAAAATTCTGCTCACCTTGAAATAAATTAAATTCTAGTTTGAACTGGATGATAGATGAACCTATCTGCTTCTACTGAGCAAAAAATATTAGATAAACAGAAATAAAATAGGTGAAGGCATTAGAAGTATAGAGTTGAAGTAGACTTTAGAAGAAAGTGGAAACTCAGTTCTAAACAGGAAACAAGACATAAACCTCTAGTCCGGTTCGAAAGATTGGGAAGGAGTGTGAACTGGACAATAGGCAAACCTATCTATTCCTATTGAGAAAAAAAATAGATAAATGGTAAATAAAATAAAAGAGTTTAGGTGGAAAATTTAGGAATATAGACTTAGATAGATATGAAAAGATTAGATTTTTATAAATAGATGCACCTTGGTGGAAAGAGATATAATTTATACTGTGTAAGTATTGCACATTTTCAAAATACACAAAATTTAATGAATATTAATTATTGCATTTATGTTCTTTGCTTTGAAAATCAGAATCCAAAATCAACCTTTGTTTGAACACATAACAAGCATTAATTACAAAACATCCATATGGGCAAACGTTAGAAATATGTTGCACAATTTCTGTATAAAGACAGAATAGGAAAGACATTTGTTTGACAAAACCAGCATCCATACCACTAGCTTGTGGATGTGTGTATATATATATATATATACACAGTCAACAATGAAATTATTCATACACCCATTAATTTTGAATATTTTTTATCCATTTCTCAGAATCTAATGCACATATGATGCCAGGTTTTTTATATGTTAATAAGCAAAAAGAAGAAAAAAAATAAAACTCGATTTTCAGGAGAATACATTAAATACAACAAATTTGACAGGTGAATTATGCAAAAATGGAAAAGACAAAATTATTCATACAGTAGAAAATATCACTTTAAATTGATTGATTCATGTTAGTATAAGTAATTTATAAAGAAATTTAACCATTTTGGCATGACAGAGAATTTGCCTGGGCATGGAAGAAAACCAAATTGTCAGTGAGAACTGCACAAAAACTAGGTTGTGAGGTTAATATAAACCCAAAAGTTGTTTTGAAAGACCTCACCAAAGGTTTGGATACAATGGGTATCAGCATAAGTACTCACACAATACAACATTGTTTAAATAAAAAATGAGTTGTATGGAAACTGACCATGACAAACCCTCTCTTCACAAACTGTGTCACATTGTTGCTCATTTTAATTTTGACAAAGAAAATTGCTTTTGGGAACTAGCACTATAGAGTGATGAAATGAAAATTGAGTTTTTTGAACATAATGATGTACAGAAGATTTGGCGCAAGAAAGGTGAGGCTTTCTTCCCAAAGAACACAGTGGCAACGTGAAAACATGGTGGCTGCTTGATGATGTTTTGGGGTTGTTTTAGCTCAAAGGGAACTTGACAGTTAATTGCAATAAGAGAAATAGTGAAATCTGCAGACTATATCCAAATTCTGGATGAAAATCTACAACTATCAGTGCAAAATCTTCTAAGTTGTTGATTTACTTTCCAGCAAGATAATGATATCAAACATATGTCTAAACCAGTGACTGTATGACTTCAGAAAATTACAGTTCTACCATGGCCTTCGATGAGTCCTGACTTGAATCCTATTGAAAATCTATTGTAGGAAATGAAAGTTTGAATAAATTGTCTGTCACCAAAATACCTTCAGGAATTAGAATGTGGGCACATGAAGGCCATCATTCGCTGTGAAATGGATACCCCCACCCTACCTCGGTTTGACCTCTTTCTGAAGGTGACTGATATGTGGATAAAAATTAACTCATAGGACCCTTACCAAAATGGTCGCCCCAGCCATTTCCATAGTAATTAATTTTGTGAATGAACATGCTTATAAAGATGCGTAAATTTCAAGATTGGTTATTCCTAAATTTTCTCTTGAGGATGAAACAGGGGTTGATACTTTAATTCAATTTAATTTTAATAATTATATTGAGGTTTTTGGCTCTTGTTTTTGAAACATGAGAACTCTTATGTAGTGAAGGAATCATATATTTTTTAAAATAATCATAATATATATATATATGCACACACACGTGTGTGTATATGAGTGTGCATTATAGTATATACATACATGTTGTATCTCATAGTGTTTTTCTCTTGTTTGCCCATTTACATTTCTTTTTGTCAACAACCGAGTCATAACAATCAATTCAAAGACATTCTCTAGCTTCTTCTGAGCAACGATTACATCTAAAAATGCAGCCATTCTCTTCCTGCCCATTTTTCTTCTCCCTGTTCTATTACCCTTTTGCTCTAGCTGCCATTTCCTTCCAAAACCCCAAAGGAATCAATTAATTCTTATGAGGATTTTCATGATCAAAGTCATATACGGCTAGGGTTCCGCATAGTTTACATATCTCTCAAAGACCGATAATGTGGTCTGCAGTGATTTTACTCTTCCAAACTACAGATTGGTATCAAAAATATGTTTTATGTTTTTATTTCTTTTTTTTTTCTTATTAGAATTTAGTTACTTTTTCTCATTCTGCATAAGCTAACTTTTACTTCAAATGAGTGGGACTTGCAGAAAAATCCAGTGTAATTAATGTCTGACATGTTTGATATAACCAAGAAGATTTATTTGTTTTTATTCTGTTTTGGTTTAATTTTTTGTCATAAAACACAAAAAAAATTGAAGGTTTCATTTCCTTCTTCATCTCCTTTTGCCTTTTATCTTTTTTTTTTTCTATATTTTTGTTCATTAATTCTTTCAGTCTCAGAGTTTAACATTTTTTATTTTTCATAAATTCTTTAACTTTCTGATTCCTTTATTCTTTTTCAGGCCATTTCAGTTTTTTTTTAAGTTTCTGTTCTTCTTTATTTATTTATTCATGTTTTTATTTTATTTGTTCTTCTTCATCTCATTCACCTTTTTTGTCATTCCTCTTTTTCATTTCTCATTCTTTCTTTTTTTTATTCTTTATCATTTTTTTCTTATTCTTTTCTTTTTACTTTCTCATTCCTTTCTGTAATTTTTCTTATTCTTCTTTTTCTCATGCTTCCTTTTTTGTCATTTTTCTTATTCATATCTTTTCATTCTTTCTTTTCTTTTTTTCTTATTCTCCATCATTTGTCTCTTTAATTTTTCTCATTCTCCTTTTTTCATTTTTTCTTTTCTCATTCTTCTTTTCAACTTTTCTCATTTTTTCTTTTCTCTTTTTCTTGTTTATCATTTTTTCTTTTTATTTACTCATTTCTCTTTATAATTTTTTTCTCATTCTTCTCTTTCATCTCTTCACATTCTTTCTTCTCTTTTTCTTCTATTTTATCCTTTTTTCTTTTTATTTTCTCATTCCTCTTGTAATCTTTCTGATTCTTCTTTTCCATCTTTTCTCATTCTCCTCATAATTTTTCTTTTTCCTCATCTCATTTTTCTTTTCTCATTCTTTCTTTCTTTTTTTCATTTTACTCTTTACTTATTTTTTGCATTCATCATTTTCTTTCTTTCTTTTTTTCATTATATTAAACCTTACTTTCTCATTCCTTTTATAGCTTTTGTCATTTTTCATTTCTTTCTTCTTCATCACTTCTCATTTTTCCTTTCCCTATCTTGTTTTTCCTTCTTTTTTTTACTTATTCTTCTTTTTTATATCATATGATTTGTCATTTTCTTTTTCTTTCTGATCTCTCTATTTACTTTGTTAAACATTGACAGCTACAAGAACACCACATTGTGGCACCTAGTGAGGACTAAACTCACTAGCGTTGTAACTAGCTGACTAATTATGACTACATGACTGAGGTTTTTCTTTATTATTTATTACTTGTTATAGTTTTTGATGTTGTTCTTTTTTATTCTCACTTGTTTTTTTTTTTAACTTTCCCTTCAAATTAATAATAGTGTCTAGCCCCACCCCTGTCATCATTCTAATCATCACTCTTCTCTTTATGTATTCTTTAATTTCTTCCGTTTCTCGTTTATATGTTATTTCTCGCTTTCAATTTCCTTCTCTCTCCTCTCTTTTTAAATTTCTTTCTTACCCAGTCTCTTCTTCTCCCTCTTATATTAGTTTTCAGTACCCACTTGCTTCCTTTATTTTTTTACCATTTTCCTTCCTTTTTCTCTCTTCTTGAAATCCCATCAAAGACTAGAAGAACTGCATTCTCAACGCCATAAGCAATGACTTCCTCAATTTTTTCGAAATTGTTCTCCATCTGGAATTTTTTAATGATTATTTTATTTCTTTTAGATCCTCTCAATTTCCACTTAAACTTGTCTAACCTATGAGTGTTTACCTTCAGAGGTTCTTGACCTTGTACCATTCTGCCACACTGCCGTTCTATGTGAAAGTCTAAAGCTGGTTTGAAGTTTGTTTCTTACCAATATTTTATCTTCTCAAAATCATTCACTTGCTATTAACAAATTATATCTATTAGTTTGTATTAATTAGAGCAACTAATTAATTAGGAAAATTACTTTTTTTTTTCGAATACAAATTATCATTTCTTCTTATTTTTTATCTGTTGTTTCTAATTATATATTTATGGAAGTTACTAGGTTGGTTGCATATTTGTCTGTATTTTAGGTGAAGGTGTCTGTTCACTATGTAAACTTGAGTTTCAATTACAGACCTTTACACTTTTATGGTGACTCTAGTGAAACAAAGTTTTCAGTGTCCCTTGGGTATGCTCATTCTCTTTCTGGTCTAGAAGTTCGAGTGGATAAGTATAAATATCGTATCCATGGTCAGACTCAATTCAGATTTACGCAGAGTTGGAATGACCAAAAGAAAATCTCTACTTACTTTATCACTGGGAAATTTAAACATGGTTATGTAATGTCTGTTTTCTTTTTCTTGGTCCAGAAGTTAGGGTAAGTCAGTATAATCATTGTTACTATGGTCATGCTCAAGTCAGCCTTGTGCTGGGTTGGAACAACTGAAGAGAAAGCTTAACTTACTTCCTAGTTTGAAGTTTTGGAAGAAACATGCAAACACCATGTTTTGGAAAATGGGAAAAGAGTTCAGTTGTTAGTGGACCGAGGAAACTAATATTCCCCAGGGGGAACATACTTACAACATGGTTCAAATCAAAAAGGAGAAAGAGTATATATACCTTTTTATAGGCTTAAACAAAACCACCTAACAACATTTGACAAAAACCAAGTTGACTAATCATATTTCCGGTTCCTTTACTCTTAGCATTATGGGAAAATTTATTTGTTTTTCTTTTTGTTTATTATTTATTATTGTGATTTTATTTTATTTCATTTTCCCACATATTTCACACACACACACACACACACACATATATGTATTTCTAAGTTAATGGATTCCTTTATATATATATATATATATATATTCTTTCTTTATGTGCCATGTCCTTTCAGGACATAGGCAATCATGACTCTTCACAATTTCCTGTGCTTTGTAGCTCTTAATAAATTGTCTTTTTGTTATCTCCTCTAAACGTTTCTTTAAGACTTACAATACTAAACTTATAGACTATATACCCAAGACATATGATTTAAAAGAAAAAAATTTAAATTTAATTCAAATTTAAAATAAGTTTAGTTCTCTATACTTATAATATTGTAAAATGCCATTCATGATATGCAAATGGTTAAAATTAATTATGAAATAAAAAAAAACTCTTGGCTTTTTAATATGTTGACCGAGTTATTTGATATTTATTTTGCTACATTTATAAGTGAGTCTTGTCTGTTATCAGTCAAATGTTGGAATGCTTCTTTTTTTTTTTAAGTTCTCCATGTCAAGTCATTTTTATTTGGCTATGATATCGGAATGCAGAATGCTTGTCTGAAATAACTCTATGACAAGCAGCCAAGAAACATTTGATCCTCATTAAGAAAAGGAAATTTTATTTTAAAATGAAAAGTAAGATTTCTGCTGTAAGGGCCTGAGAAAATAACATTAGCTTTGGAATAATTACTTCACACACGCAGAGAGAAATATGGCACCTCACCAAAGAATAAAGATGAGAAAATAAGGTTTGCAGATGATCACTACAGTAATGAGCCCATGCCTGGGTGCTCTATATTAAATTCCTTGTGACATATTAAGTGAAGCTAAATATATTGACAAAGTTTCTATCATCAGTGGCAAAAAAGTTTGTTGGGAACACCAAAGGAAACAATTTATGAGCAATTCAGAATAATTCGCATTAGCAATATTATAAACTAGATTTATAAAATGACTTGACATGGAGAACTTAAAAATAATGGGATTTTTTTTATTTTTGTGCTGTTGTTGCTGGTGCAACTTTTATTTATTTGCACCAGCAACAACAGCACAAACAATTCACCAGTCACAAGGCAAAACTAAGGAAAAAAACTGCTTGTTTCATTACATTGAGCTTGTGCCAAAAATGTGGAATTAGTAAATACTAACCCCTTCAAAAAATCATTTATATCATGTGCAGTATAGAAGATAAGAAAACTGAACATAAAATAGGCTGCACTAGAGGTAGTTTTACCCAACGCTGCATTTAACTACAAAACTATAACTAAAAACTCAAGTTATGTTCTTAAATAGCCGTATCAGTTCCAAACTTTAATATGGATGTCATACTTAGCTCCAAACTCATTCAGAAATATTTAGACACTTAACTGGAAACTACCACTTTCTCAGATCAATGTTTAAAAATGGCTTCAAGCGAATGAAGCATGTAGGTTTTACTGAAGACCATCCTTCTTTGAACCTTGTGGACTGGTATGACAGAATTACAAAGAAACTTTACCAATTGGAAATTAAACAGAGAATAGGTTACACTAGGGATAGTTTCACTCAACACAGCATTTTACTACAAAACTAAAACTAAAAACTCAAATTATGTTCTTAAATAGCATGTAGATCTTACTGACGATCATCTGTCTTTGAATCTTGTGGAATAGTGCAGCAGAATCACAAACAAAGACATTCTACCAAATAACAGAATCCCCATCACTTGAGGACTTTAAAAAGCAATGGCAACTAAAAGAGAAAATAATGACATAATCAAGACGTCAGTGTTTCACACTACTTCAAACAAAAGGTTCAGAAGGAAACCCCTATCAGTTCTGGAAAGAACAATAACACATAGTGGACTAGATAAACCTATTTTCTGAAAAATTGTTTTAACAGAAAGATTTAATAAATTTCTGACTGAAAATAGCACTGGCTGCTGGACCAATGACTGACAAATGTTTCTTATATGGAAACTGCTAATATTACCATTATCAAGTTAAGCTTTTTAAGTAATGGCAACTCACTGTAAGGTAGTATTTAGTAAATTCATCTTGTTGACCATTGTTTGTGACCTTACAATATTATACTAGTAATATCTGATAAGATTACAAAACTAATTTTTTCGAAGGTAAAATAAACTTTGTGACACTGAAATTAATCTCTATCTATAAAAGGCAGGATGTGTGTGTGTGTGTGTGTGTGTGTGTGTGTGTGTGTGTGTAGCAAATGCATGGCCGCAATTTTCAACAGATTTGCACCAAAATTTACATGCACATACTCCAAGTTAGTGGGAAGGCCAAGACTGACTTTGCATTTCCCAACTCCCATCGATAGTGGAAATAATCGATTTTTTCATGCCTCTACGGCGGTTTTCATGTATTTTGCGGCCATTTTTTACTGGCCAGGGTGAGAGCCAATAGCTAACTGACACGAATGTTAACTAGCATGCTAAAAAAAAGCCAATAGCTGCATTCGTCACAAGTGGGAAAAATTTAAATCTGCATGGCACTTTATTCCAATTGGCTCATTCGCTTGCTTAAACCCAACGTTGATTCTGATTCTGCATAACTGAGTTGGGTGTGAAAAAGTATTTGTTGTTAACATTCTTTTTTCATTTGGTTTTTCCAGTTATGAGTCCTTTTTTAAAGCTGATCGTTTTGATTTTGTTTAGTTCTTTTTCGTAACAGATTTAATGTTTAGTATAAAGCTTAGAAAAAATTCGCAGTGTGGGATAGGCAAGAAGTAAGGCATGTAGCAACATCAGCATGGCAAAGGGCACTCCTTTAAAGGCAAGGAAGGGCAAAAATATTTTAAGTCAAGTGATAGCGATTGCTGTATGAGTCATACGATTTTTGAATCAAGCCCGGGCAATGCCAGGTCATGCTGCTAGAATCAAATAAATTGAGGGTATGTGGTTTTGGGTCTTTCTTCAAAGGTTTAATCTTTTTGCAAAGATATGAAGGATTCTGTCTCTCCCATCATACATTGGGTTCTTATTTAACTTTCTGTTTTCTGTTGTCTTGTGTGTGTATATATCCTAAGTTCAGCGAGGGTCATTTCCCATTTTTGTTTGTACATCCACTGACATCCTTTGAGGCCTGATTCTGAATGTTGTACAGTTACCTTCTAGATCAATCATAGAGGCTCCTAACTCTTTTGGCTTTTAGAGGTGACACTGGATACAAAACTTATCTTTGTATCTCTTAAAGTGAGACTCCAGTGCATATTGGGATCACCACAAATAAACTCTTCTTAGGTTTCTAATATATATTGAATTTTATTTAGATTTTTAGTACTTCATGGTATGAATTACATACTACAAATTTTTACCAGACTTACTAAGTTTGGTACATACACACACACACATATATATATATTCTTAATATCTCAAGCCATTCAATGCATCCATTACAGTTGTATACACACCAACAATACAAAACATGGTAAAAAAATGGTTTGAAGAATTTGACACTCACAGTAAATGTTGAAGGTAAGAGAGGCAGAGTAACCTATCTACAAACTGGCAGAACAGGGATGAGGAGCATAGTAAGGAGGCTAAAACTTCTTCAAGATATGGATAGGAAGAATTGGAGTGCCATGACCACCCATATCATGGAGGGACAGGTACATAAAAGAAGAAGAAGAATAACCTCCATTTTTTAAAAAGATCAAAAAAAAAAAAAAAAAAATGTGCTCCATGTTAAAAAGAGAGTAATCTAAGATATATATATATATATATATATATATATATATATATATATATATATATATATATAAAATATATATATATATATATATATATATATATATATATATACATATATATATATATATATATATATATATATATACATATATATATATATATATATATATATATATACATAT